AATTACTTAATATTCTCATTATTTCTAAAATATCTGACAGGTTGTACATCCTAAATCATGAGCTTTTCTACTGAATAATGCAACAACCTCTGCTAGCGTTCAAAGCCACATACATAACAGAATAACCAATATATTGGTGCAACGAGTAAATGCAGACCAGTCTGCCACTGTTCTGCTGAAGTAACACAGAGACATATTGCTGGTGTTAGCTTAGTATGAGAATTCTGATTGTGTTTGATGCAAACCCCAAAGAGTAAAGAACTGGGGGAAAAATAACTTTGCTAGGCCTGTAATTCATTAAAGAAAAAATTAAATAGAAGGAATACAAAAAATAGTTCTGAATTTTTTTTCTCACATTGCATGACTTTTCATTTGATAAAGCACAGTAGCCACAAATTTCAAGAAATGGTTGAAGACAGAATTACGCAGTAGGGAAGTAATATGGGAACAGATGTGAAAATCCCAACAAACTGCATTTCTAAAGGTAGCTAGGTTTCTAACGTGAGGGGTGGCAGTTTTAGTTAGTATTCATTGTTCTGTGCCAGAATAGGGACAATACACTTTCAATTCCAGTGCCATCGGTGTGGCTTTTTCCTTGGCTCTTGAACTAATAATATATGTAAAGGCAACATACTCTCAGAATTACAGCAAACCCTTGCTTTGTTGAACTGATACACAGTCAGAAAAAATCAAATCTATACTGCTGAAATAGCTCCACAAAATTGTTTCCAAAAAAGGAATAGAAAGTGATCTTTTTCCTTCAATGTCAAAGTAATCATTACTTGCACGATGATGAATAACAAATGTCTGTGCCAGTAATTCTGGACATCATATGATGGCTTCATTATAAAATGGAGCATTAGCAAACAGCTGATTGTTATAGTTAGGAAACAAAACAGAAAATTAGATAATGAAAATAAAGAATACTTTTCTGCTAAAATGACATTTTCAGTGTAAGTATCTGGTTTCATTAATAGGCTAATTTTTTAGATATTTTAGGAACCTTTTGAAAATAAGAGTAATTATTTAAAAGCCGCTTAACCCAGTTATTCAAAAAGCAGAAACACTTAAGAATGTCTAAAAATATAAGGTTTTAATTTAATGATATAAAATATATTTTACTTCTTTAAAGTAAAGTAGGCGTTTTTAATTTCAAAGCATGGACCACTGCTGAGTCTCTGCTGTACATAGAATCCGTGATGAGAACAGCCTTTTCATTATTTTAAGGGGAGAAGATACTAGTCATCTTATGCCCCTGTGTGGCCAACCTGGACAACAAATTCTCCTTCATGTAGCTGTAACAAAGAAATAACAACATACTCTGGGATAAAGCATATTTAGGTAAATCTACTGCTTTCCATTCTCAAAGAAGGGCTGTTGTTAATACATACTGCAAATGGTAAAATTGGACTGATACTGTTCCTTGCAGTTTGTATCAATTTTAATCACAAAGGATACTCACTATTATGCAGTGATGTGTTAATCTGAACATTGCCCAAAGCACTTACGAATTCCAATGCAGTATGCTGCTACAAATAGACCATCTGACAACACAGTCTTTGTACATTCAACTACAAAAGTAGAACGGCAGTCAGAAAAACCTAGTGTATCTGATAATTAAAGGCTTTTAAAGATATCTAAAAACTTTAATTCAATCTCCTTACTCATTTGAATGAAAAGTATATCAGTTAAAATTCATCAGAAAAATTTTAAAGTCCAAAAATCTGAAGCTTCCTTAGACTCTGCTTTAGAATTTGGATATAATGTAAGCACTTAGTCGTAATGTTTTCAAAAACAAACTGAAGGTCTCCTGATTTCTCTTCCTGTACTTTCTTCTCTAAAATGCAAGAAGACTTCATTCCCATACTAGCTATTGGACAAATGCCAAGAATGCAAAACAACGCTAGTGACTTTCTAACATTTGGTAATTCTAATCATTTTTCAATAAAAAGTAGCTATTGCCCAGGAAATAGCACTACAGTCCACAATGCAGGTGAAACAAAATTCTGAAGTAAACTCATAGCTCTTACTGCTTCAGCTGGCTGGAGTTGGTACTGTCAGGTAAGAGACACACAGGACTGGGAGAAAGGCACAGTAAACCAAGCATCTCTTTCACACTCACAAGAGCATCTTACACAATGGTGTGGCAGTATAACTGGCAGAAGAAAACTAAACGGCAATGTTCCTCTAACAGATGCTGTTAGCAGAGGCTAACTAAGCTCATTTAAACAGTAACATCAATCTAGCTCATGAGCAGTCTAGTGTTTCCCCTATCAGTTCTGTAATGCAAAGAATAAACCATAAAAAGACAACTCATGTAAGGTCTCTTTGTAAAATGATAACAGTTTAATACATACTCCTGCTAACGTTTTGTATAATACCAGAAAGCCAAGGCCAAGATAACTAGCTTTCCTGAAACAAAATCACAGCAGGCCTAAACTTTCAGAAGAACTGAAGGACTCTAAGAATATAGATCATGTTAAAATTAACAGGAATGCATTTTCTCTTACAGTTCTATGCATACTACCTATTTTCACTATGACTCTTTGTTTTAGAGCTCATTATCCACTATACTGTTAGTATGCACTAGCATGTTTTCTTCACATTATGTATATGGCAGTATATCTGCAGTTAATGATTCTGTGCTTACTGTCAGTTGTTATTTTTCTGGCCTCTGAATTTTTTTATGTAAAAACAGAATGAAAAGATCTGAAAAAGCAAAATAATCATCCCTTTTTAGTCCTCTGACTCAATATTCAACCTTAACATTCAAAGACACAGACCACTTTACACCTCCTAAAAGAATCTTTTACATGCTAAAAGTATTTATCTTTTCCTTACCACAGTTCTGAAATATTAACTCTTAATGAATGAACAATTAGTTTTCAGTAGACGCGTTACACTACCTGTGCAAAGCTTTAAGTGAAAAATCTACTTAGAACATTGACTTAATCCAAAATAATTTATTTTGGCCTCCAAAAGACATTTAGTTTAGACTTTTTAGCGTCTATTCAGCATATATCTTCTTCACAGCCATTTTATCAAGATGAAATTTAAAATACTAATACTTGTGCAGAAGACAGAAAGAATCTTTTTACTCGATAACCTTAAACAACTTTCAACTAATAAACCAGTTTAATTCTAGATAACACCGAAAATATGACTTAGCCTAGCATGGTTACTCTTCCACATTGTTAAAAAATTGCACAATGTTTTCTTGAGGCCAAAAGCATATGTACCTAGAATAACACTACATAGTTTCTTATAAATATAGAAATATTCTCATCCTAATTCAGATAGCTCATACTGGGTCAGAGGCTGGGTTTCCTAATAATCATTTCTTGTTAATCAGCCTTCTAGAATAAATATAATTCTAAATCTCAGTCATAATAAATGTAATAAAATATTTCTCTGAGGTCTTTTGACTTGAAATTGGTACCATTTGCAGCTTTTGCCTGAGAATTTTAAGCAAAGTACATGCACCTGACATATGGATCTGTAAAAATTTAATAAAAAGCATGCAGCTTGATCTGCAGCAACAGATACAGAGAATCAGGAATAGGTTTGCAGAAGATCAGAACAGTTGCTTAGGGTTTTCTTGATCGTTGCAGGCCTTGAAACTATGCACTTGGAAACATGCACTGCTTTACCATCACAGTTGATAACACATAAACTATTGCTCCATTTTGTAGAGCTTCAAAGATTTCACAGTACACCAAAGGGATGTAAAAAAAATCCCATTCACTACAGATTTCATTTATATGTATAAAAAATTAATTCACTAAATTGATTACAATTACAAAAGCTACCTCTGTAATTTTGCATGCTTATTTAGAAATTCATAACTGGGATAATAAAACTTAAGAACAGTGAAATGAAATAAACATTACAGTATTTTATAAAAGAAACATGAACAGTAAGGGAGAGAATCCTGAACACACTATTCTGGGCAATAAAAGGTAAATGGTTTTCTGAGGTATTAAATTCAAATATCACTGTATTTAAAAAAGAATATCCTATTTAAAGAGATTTCTCCCACAGATACAGAGAAGATTAAAATGCTGGATATAGTCTCTGCAATATTACTTCCACCCTTTTTCCAGAACGTTTCCATCAGTGCACTATCACTATAAAAAACTACAGGATTCTCTTTCTCTCTGATCTGCATCCACACTTTTTAGACAATATTCTTACTCATTTTTACCTTCAATATTTAACAGCAGCATGGCAAAAGTTCTCAACATCAGTAATACACCATATGTTTACTGAATAATGCAACAAAAATCAGTAATTTTTATTTCAGTTTACTCCCAAAAACAAAACTAAGAAATCAATTCAACAACCATCTCAAACCAGTAAACAGCAACTTCTCCCTACCATCTCTAATTCCCACAAAACAATAACTATTCATAAAAGGATAGCCTACAGAGCTGACTGACCTACTGCAAAGCATCCACTGATCATCTATAATTTGGCTAGTTAAAAAGACAATTGAAAAGCACTGCACACAGAATCGAAGTCTTCTAAAAATAAGAAGCTGCTTTTTGCATATTTTCCAAATGGTATGCAGGACTGCTAATTTACATCTTCCAACAAATTATGTATGGTTAAACAGACACATCTTTGAGCATTTAATCCTTTCACTGCCACATCCACACAGAAATCATTTCCTCAGACAAATTTGTTTATGAATACTTAATATGCTTCAAGGATTACACCTAATAATGCTACCTTCTAATGGGAGCTAATGTATTTGAAAGATACATATCCACCTTAAATATGTTATTCTCTCGGTGCTGGGTTAATTCCTGCAGATAGAGTTCTCATTTAAATCCTGATACAAAACATACAAATACCAAGGGAAGAGACTCATTGCTACCACAAAAATATTAACATCTGAGAGAGTAATTATAAAGGTACCCCACTGAAAAACATGTAAATAGATTACTGTTAACATAGGCACAGAAATAGTAAGGGAAAAATGTTACATTTCTACTCACCTAGTGTTGTTCAATGTCTGTCCAAAAAGATCATTTTGTAAAATATTTGGAGGGGATGAGAAAACCCCATGAAAATGAGATAAAACAGAATTGCAGACCTGGCGCAGTGTCTCAAATTGCATTTTCTCTCTTTCCTTCCCTTCTATTTTTCTTCACCACCTGTCTTAAAAGTCATCTGTTTTGCACACACCATCAAATGCAAACATGCCAATCAAGTTCCATATTTCTCCTGATCTCTGTAAAAACTGTGCCTAAATGAGCAGGGGTTGATAGTTAATTGTACAGTCATTATTCTTCTAATTCAGTCGTAGAAGATTTAGTACCCGTGCGGCTTTCTCCTGACTGTAGCAAGAATTCTAAACAGCAGAAAGCTTTTTGGGCATTCCCAGATGAAGTGTGAAGCTGAGCTGCTTTCATGTACTATACTCATATTTCTCTAAGCCTATTAAAAACACGCAGTGAATAGATGCTGTCGTCAGGAGTTTCAGCACATCTGGCTGCCAGCAATAAAATCTCTGAAGTAATAAAAATGAGGACAAGGCATCCTCACACTGTTACTACTGTCGACGAGGAGGAGGACTTCTGCATTTTCCCCTCCTTCTTCCCTCCCCTGTAAAAATGACTAACACCACTGACCGTGTATGTAGGTCTCTTCTTTTTTTTTTTTTTTTTAAATGTAGAGGCAGCTATACAGCACAGAAAGCCCACTCTAAAAATAGATACCATATTCTTCATATAATAACATGTAGCATTGAGACTGCAGCAGTAGACTTTTTGCCTGTACTTGAAAAGCTATACTGTACCTTACAGGAGATAACAGGATTTTCATTGCAAACATGTAAATGTAGTATCAATTCATGGCTAAAGGAAGCAATCTACACTCTATAACCCTGCTCAGTTAGGTGCTGTATGTACAGCACTGAGTCAATGATTAATCACACAAAGTTGAAAAATCACCAAAAGCAATGGCCACTCATATATACAGCACATTTCAAAATAAGAAGTCTTCTGCACCTTTTAAAAGTTTATTGCACAGAATCAAGCATGACAGAACTGAGCAAAATCAATCACTTCTTTGGGTGCGCTATACCTGTTTAATCTCAGGAAAAGTCATAGGTTTAGGAGCCTATGTCTCTGGTGCACATACAGTCCAGAAAATCAATGAGCAAGAAGTAGAATCAGTCATCTAACAGAATACAGAGAGATTTTGCAGCACAGTGTGCACAGTGAACACTATTAAATGTACAAAAGATAAATACCCCTGCCTGACCACAAAATGTATTTTTCCTCTTTTCTCTCAATGCTTGTGTCAGGTTAGAGGAGAGCATTACATAACATTACAGAATATACTCTATCACTCTCAAATTGAAAAATAACAATTAAAATGATTTTCCTTTTAATATCTTATTTTCCATCCACAGCTTCTAACATCTTAGCACCAATTACAAAATCTCCAAATAAAATCAGCATAAAATGAGGGCCATTACTAAAGCTCTTCCACCAAAAGTGATTTTAATCCCAGAAGAAATGGGAATAAGCAACCTTCCAGCTAATTAAAATATTGCACTGATGTGCTCAGACAGGAGTACCCATCCAGCCTTCTTTGGCCAGAAGGATGGCAGCTACAATATAGAGCTTTTCAAAGAAAAAAAGGAAATGGGAACAAATTCATCTACAGGCCTGTCAAAGGGATATAGGGAGCTTCTTAACACTTATGTTAAAACTTTCAAAAATGTATAGGGAAAATATCAGTTAATTAAACTGTTCCTAAAACTCATGTGAAGACCTACAAACTACTATACAATATTTAGTATCTGTATTTCTGCCTATAACATACTGTACATTGTGGAAACATATCTTTCTTTGAGAAATTTATTACCATGAGTGGTAAAAAGTACTAGGCTATATGTATCATAAATCTGATAACAATAATGAGTTCCTAAAGTCGGAATTAAGGAGTATGTATAGCTATTTTGTGATAATAAAATGAAAACCTAACACTTTGTAACCATCTTTCCCATACTGCAGGGAAATTCACGCTTGTCACAGCAAAATGTCTCCTTACCTTCCATCGGAAAGACATAATTTTCAAATCTGGTGCAAGAAATAGAATTTTCTGTTCAAAATGATTCAAGGTATTCAAATAATTATTAGCCTTTTATGCACTGCTTAACAATATGGAGACAATGTTGACTGTTGAGTCGGTATAAGAATAACATTTCATTGCATGTTGCAAATATATCACCATTTGCTGTGTGGGTCATGGATGGTCATCAAAGCCAAAATGCTCCTGCAATTGCAATTGCTAGGTCTGAACGTTTGACATTCACCTTTCTATGTCTTCCTTTTCAGATTTTTAAAACGGAAGTTATGACATATATTCCTTTTTGTAAAACTGTACAAAAACTATTGACAAAATGCAATACATATTACAACTTTTCATTTCTTCTTTTAAATCTGGCATAAGGAATGCCTCCATATATTCATGCAAGTAAAACTATTAATGGGAAAAAGGTAGAAGGAAACTTTTTAAAGGCATATACTCTGTCAATGCTATTAGAAGAAAACTCATACATAATTTTTTTTGTGTGCAAATGCATGTCTGGAAGTTTTCATCAAGATTGAATTTAGTGCTGACTAGAAATGTAATTGGTATTTTTTATTCCAAAAAAATAAATGTGGTACAGAAAAATAAAGAGTTTCCTTTCTTTCCTGACCTTTCTATTGCTCTCACAGGGACCCTTTTGGTTGATTCTTTCCTACATTTATTATGCAGCCTATATTATTACATAGACCTTATTATATACACTTATAAGTGTAACATTTATTATCATAAAGGCCTTCTTAGTTACATATACCTTTGCCAAAATGTAATCATTTGGTCTGGAAGGAAGCAAGAGGCGTAACAGGAACAAGTCAGAGGGGACAGAACAAAGGAGAATGAGCAGATTAGGTTGCACCCACTAAAGTACAACCCTTCAGAACGAGAAAGGACAATCAAAAGAAACCTGTAGAACCACACATAAAATTTATTTCCTGAACGCTAATATCATTGGAGAACACAATAGTACAGGTACTAGTCTCCTTATTCCATCCCTGCTAGAGACCTGCTCCTATACTACATACGACAAAAATTTCTTGTGCTGGAAGGAAGAGGGACCGAATCTCCTTTTTTACAAGTTAGGAAATTATATTCTTCCCCTCTCCTCAGCCCTGGGGAGGCCTCACCTGGAGTACTGTGTCCAGTTCTGGGCTGCCCAGGACAAGAGAGACATGGCACTACTGGAGAGAGTCCAGCGGAGGCCTACAAAGATGATGAGGGGACTGGAGCATCTTTTCTATTAGGAAAGGCTGCGAGAGCTGGGCCTGTTCAGCCTGGAGAAGAGAAGACTGAGGGGGGAATCTCATCAATGTGTACAAGTATCCGAAGGGAGGGTGTCAAGAGGATGGGACCAGACTCTTCTCCGCAGTGCCCAGCGACAGGACAAGAGGCAACCGGCACAAATTGAAACACAGGCAGTTCCATCTGAACATGAGGAGAAACTTCTTTCCCGTGAGGGTGACCGAGCACTGGAACAGGTTGCCCGTGATGGTTGTGGAGTCTCCTTCCTTGGAGATATTCAAAAGCTGTCTGAACACAATCCTGGGCAATGTGCTCTAGGTGACCCTGCTTGAGCAGGGGGTTTGGACTAGGTGATCTCCAGAGGTCCCTTCCAACCTTGGCCATTCTGTGATTCTGATTCTGTGATATCCTTAAAATACCTATGTTAAGAGCTTCATGTAGTAATTCTGGAAGAGGCAGGATTTTTCTTCTTCCATTTGACATTTAATTTCGTTACACTTTAGATTTCCTTGTTCCTTCTTGCAAGCCATGCACTCTATACCTGCCGATATCTGTATTAAAAGTAGTGCAAGTCCTATGGACAAAAATTTCCTTTTTCAAAACATCCCTAATTCTGTACTTAGACACGTATAAGGGGAGGTAAATTTTACTCTAGCAATCATGACTTTGGAATTTCCTGACTTTGGAGGGCCTGATTCAAGTAATTTTGATAATGATTTTTATTACAGTGTTTTGTGTATTTATACTTGCACACATGCATTACTGCTAATTAAGATTATAAATAATAATCAGTTTAATTTCCACATCAGTTTTACAAAGGTTTTCATAGACATTAATGCAAAGTTCTTTAAACATATTGCACATAATGGGAAAAATGAGTACCAGACAGTCTAAGTGACACCGCCATGGCTGAAATGGCCCATTTCAACATGAAAAGACAAACCTAGGAAAGCATCATAGGCTTTACTTAGCTGAGCACCACTGAGATCCATACAGATACCTATTTCTCTAGTCAAGCTGAATCTTAATAAACATCCTCCAGCTACAAATAGTTTCAAAGAAAATTTATTCCAGAAAGCTCCCAAATGTATGGATTTTTTTCAGTTGGTATAAAAATACATTTATCTTTCAAGATAAGATTGAACTTCCTCTTTAAATTTGATGCTAGAATTCAGAAAGCTCTTAAGGGAAACCTATTACATAAAGAAAGCTGACAATATGTTCAAATATGTTATCTCAAACATTACTTAGAAGCATCACTATTGTTATAGGCACACAGAAAATATGTTAAAAGAAAGTCATAGCTTAAGCAAACTAATGTCATGAAACCTCATTAAAACTATGCATTGCACCCCACAGGGCATTTAGGAGCATTCTGTGATAAAAGCTACTATCAGGTACAATTTTGGATTAAATTCCATTCTTATTTATTGGGCATTATGTAAGTACAGTTTGATGGAAACAAAGAAGAAAATGGTAGAGATAAGTCACTTGGAGTACAGAAGTTAGAGTGTTTTAAGGTACAGAAAAGTCGAGCCTCTTTATTTCTTCTCCTCTGGACCCTAAATAAAGTAACCAATAAATAAATCCCTGTAGTGCATCCATCACTGGTCTCAAATCTGCCCTTACCAGAACATTTATCTAAATAAATATTTAAAATAAAATTTCTGCATAATTTGATGTAAGCATTCTTGCTATTATAGGAAAAAAACACCCGAAAAAATGCTTTCCACACAGGTGGTTAACACCAGTGGCCTTGCACCACTGTGGGTTGCTGTTACATTATTACTGTTTACAGACTACTCATTTTGGGTCAGATTAATAAACTGATGCCCTATGAACATGATCTTATAGGACTAATTTAAATTCAGTATTTGGATGCACTTTTATTTGCTACTGTAAATGAAACACAACCAGACTGCTTCTTTTGGAAGCGCACATTCACTAGTATTTCATAACATCAATGTGCAAAGGATGAGCTTCACAAGAGGAGCTTAGTAGGAATTAAGGCAATTCCACAACTGTAAATTTAAACAGCAAAGAACAGAAGTCACCAAAACTGGTACCCGAAACAACTAAGACAGGAAATAACAGAGAGAGGAATGCAAACACAGCCCCAGCCCCCCAAAAGAGGTAAGTACCTAAATCCAGGCTGCAGGGAAGCATTAGTCTCTGCTCAGGAAGCACAATAAAGAATCCTCTTCTTGAGCTGGATGATGTTT